AATAAGTATGTGCATATAAAGTAAACTATGTGCATATATAGGAAAAGTATGTGCATATATAGAAAACGTATGTGCAGATATTGAAAAGAATGCGCATATATAAACATATGTTCGCATTAGGTAGTTACGGCGTTCCATTAATAAGCCTTCAAAGCAAGATGAGGGCATATCAATTAGAACACTTGTAACTTGTGCGCACAAGTTGTACAACTCGTGCGCACAAGTTAGTAACTCGTGCGCACAAGATAGTAACTCGTGCGCACAAGTTGCGTAACTCGTGCGCACAAGTTGTGTAACTTGTGCGCACAAGATAGTAACTTGAGCGCACAAGTTGTAATTTTGTTTTACATGGCACTCCAGGGTTTCCGTAGTAAATAGATAATGGAAAACCAATTTTTCTAAAAGGTTTTTGTGCTTTTTTCTTAGAGACAAAGTAATAAATACATACCTTTCCTCGATTTAAATGACTTTTCTAATCATAAAAGTAGGTACAATATCATAACATCAATTATGTGAAAAGCTGGGACATTTTAGTGACCCCAACATATATTTGACACCCTTTTTACGAACCCACTCTTAATTCCAGGATCCCTTATTTTTTTTACTATCTGAATGAAAGTACATCTTATGGGTAATTGTGTTTTTCACTGTTGTTTCGTTGCTGTCTTGTGGACGAATATCTGAAATCTTCGTTTAATCGTCAATAATATTTATTTAATGGTTATATTTCGGATAATTCAAACATTTGTTTCTTCGCATAGAAACAACTATTCGTTAATCTGAGCCTGGAAAGAATACTTTATATCACGGACTATAAATGTAGATACTAAAGATGAAAAACTAAGCGAAATTGTTTATCCCGCAATGCATGAAAAAATGTGTTGCATTTCAGTAAATAACACATGTTCTCGGTTGATCGTAAACACGTAGTAGTCCATCATGCATTGTTACTCATTTAGTGGATTGGTAAAAAATTCCAGGTAAAAAAATATTGTGTCATACGCAATTAAACAGGTATAGGCTGAGTTTGGATATACGCCTAAGGCGGCCTATAAATATCAAACCATAAGTACCCAAAGGTACCTATGGGTAACCATAGGCCGCCTCAGGTGTATATCCAAACACAGCCATAGTTCCGAGGACATTAATATGAATTATTATCAAATTATTAATTTAAACATATCCATATAAGGTAGTCTACACGACCTGCTAAACTGATGCTAGTTTCATTAAAAAATGACAGCTATGAAAACAATAAAAGATATTTTTTTGAATAATCCATTCAACAAAAATTCACCACGTAGTATAAAGACAAACTCAGAATAATAAACATCTGTTAAAATATATTAAGACAGAATCAGTCATCAAATATTGACCGGTATATGATATTAGCGTCACATATGACAATGGATGTGTTCGAATTTTCGTGACCATTATCCTGTAACCATGTTAGCGATTATGACATCTCCGAATGAGACTAGTTACATAATTTGTACTTACCATGATCAAGTCGATGGGTGCGACTGGTGAAACTTATGCTTTCGGAGCGTCTGAGATCATCGCAAGGTTTTGGTTGAGGTTTGTGCTGCTCAGTTTTCTAGTATGTAGTGTATTGTGGACTTGTTTGTCTAGTTGTCTTATTTCGTTTTTTGTCATGAAGTTGTCAATTTCTCTTGACTTATAAGTTTTGAAATGTTCCCTTTGTATCCATATTTTTTTTACACTTTTCAGAATATTTAGACAAATTTCAAACAAATTCATGATCCGATGACTTTGCAGTTATTTTATAAAGACTATATTAGTCTATATATTAAGGAAAATCATGACAGTGTTTGTTGTTGCAATATAGATGATCTTACTGTAAATTTGGGACGACAAACATCAAACGCCTTCATTTGTATTGGATGTTTCAAAATCGTACTTTGAATTTGTGTCATGGATTAATACAAAGCAGTCATGTTGTTTCATATTAAAAATGAAGTTGTTTTTTTTTTTTTTTGGGGGGGGGGGGGGGGGGTTTAATGTCTAATTGACGAATACCATGTTTTTATTGTTTTTTTTTTTTCAAATCAGAAACATGGCGGCTGTGAATTTAAAGTGCAAAGTATATGAGACAAAAATGATCAGTATATGAAATAAACAAATATTCAATATCACTCTACATACAGTAATTTTTCCATGATGATATGGAAAAGTAACAGGTTACAACAGGTGAATGGTAATATCAAACATTGCTGTCGAACATTACCGTACTCTGACAACTAGCAGTTCGGATATTTAACACACTTTCCTATTCTTAACTCCATATTCCTCACAATAGTCGTTTAAGGAATATAACTTTATTTGTCTTAAGAAATCTTAAAAAGGTGTAATTTCAAATCAGGCACCTCTCACATATATATACATGTTGTAATGCCCAAAAAAGGAAACAGATCACACTTTCTTTTGCTAACACGGGAATTGCAGTAGCGTCGACTCGTTGTTTAAGATTTGCGACAGAATGCTTCGATATTTTTTTTTAACTTTCGCACATAGATAATTCTTGCATGGTTTTGCCTTTCTTTGTAGAAGAAACCTCGGTACTGACATGATTTATAACACTTTTCTGAAAGTCTCTGTTGATAAATTAAAAACAAATATATTAGGGGCTAAGGTTCCAACTTCCTCTGTCAAAGTTGATCTATGATGAATTTGAATATACTTTTTAGGCCCCGTTGGATAATATATCTCCTGACGTTTTAAGGATGTTCACTTCTCTGTTTCAAAATAACAAACTTTTTAAAAGACTGTTATAAATTGATATTATATAAATAAAGAAACTAAAAAAAGCAGAAAAAATTAAGGGTGTCCGTGTGCTTGTTTTCGAGATATAAGCCATTGAAAATTTGGCGGGAAATAATTCTCTCTAGATTTTTCATATATTTAACATTGGCACCTTTTTTCTTTCAAAAACGATGAAAAAATAACAAGGATTTTATAAGATTTTTAAAGATAACATTTAAAACTATATGTAATCAAATTCTGGAAAGAAAAGTAGGGGTTAATGGGCAAAAATGTTTAATAGTACTACATGGATAAAACCAGAGGATTTCGAATATCTGGCAAAAATTCTAAAACAAGAGGAGCGAGCATCCTTGAGGTGTTTATACATCAATGGCTTTCAAATATTTGGGTTTGAGCGTTTCTGATGTAAATCTAATGAAGCGATTATAACGCACGACATTTATAAATTGTTGTTGTCATTTTATGAATGAAGACGCGTTTACAGGTCCAACACAATTATCTCCCCAGAAGAAACTTGAAATAGATTACAACTCGAGTAGCCTACAAATCTATTATACATATGACTTACTGAAAACTATGCATGCTGTATGTGTACCTCTTTTTGCCTTATTAATTGTTTGCATCATTTGGTTGGGTTGTTGCCTAATTAAAGTGCACATAATATTATTAACGACTTATTTCATTTATACTGACATAGCTAATACTTGCAAATAACTATGTCGGACCTCCGTTTGTATCTGTTTTGACTTTGGCATCGCATGATGTAAAATTTGAACTGCTAACAAAATTTTACAATTGAATGTTTTATAATTACATTTGCTATAATATTTACTTGGCCCATTTTGATTTTGAAATGTTTATGTGTTATTTTTTCTGTTTTTAAAATTTAATATGAGAAATAATTCCAATACATGAACCAATTGCATCGTTATGCTGTTGTTATATCTATAGATTTTTAATTGTTATTAGCAAAAAATATAAAGAGAAAACAAAAAACACAAAATCTAATATAACTATTGAATATTGAAAACTAAATAGATTTTTAAAGATTGGATTAATAATCTCTTTATGCAGTGTTGTTTACACGTGTTATAATATTTAATTTAACAATGCATATTTATATTTTTCTAACAATCATTCTATTTCTAGTAAAGACGGGACATTTTGCTTAATAATTTACAATTCACCATTGCCGACGATTTTGATAAATTATGCATAGTTCGTTTATACGAAAAGAAGGATAACCCATGTTCTCCAAATAAGATTAATTTTAGGCTCGTAAAAATTCCCATTATCTTTAGTCATGCTAATATTTTTTATTCTTGTCAGATATCATATTTGCAAAACCCAATTTAAAAATAAAGTAAAAATAAGTTTGCTAAAGATGACAAAGACAGGTTTTAAAATAAATATTGAAATCACATATGTCGCGTCAGTTCTACGTTACTGTATAGAAACAACATTAATTTTGTAATAATATTATACAATGAATATTGTTCTTCATGGAACACATAAATAAACGTGTGTATTATCTAAAAGTAAATCTTCAAAGTTTAATGTTACAAAATTTATTTTTCTAGTCTTCAAACAGTTTAATTAATTTAACGCCACATTTAACCACACTTTAAAATCATTGTCGGATAACATAACATGATTAAAAACTGTTTTCAAGGTTCAGATAGAGACATAAATATTTAAATTATGTTTGTGTCTATTGTGAAACTTTAGAAACGGCTGTAAACTTTGTTACGTCTGTGTTGTCATCACATTATTGATTGTGTTTTTTCATGTCTAATCCTGAACTCATACGGCGGTTGTTACATGCAAACATCCACTTTATTTGAACTTTGGTGGATAGTTGTCTCATTGGCAATCATACCACTTCTCCTTATTTTTATATAGCAGGTGACAATATCACTGCGGATCTATTCATTCTCGCTTGGTGTTGCGTTCAATTGTTATGTCGGTAAATTCTTAATAGATTTATAAGATTTTAAGTATGATAAAATACTGCTGCCTTAATGTGCCTTTACGTACAAGACGTCATAGTCATATAACGGAGAATGGAATCGAATTCAATATGCGATCGTTGTATTACGCCATGTATACAACATTCAACAATTTTCTTGTATCCTAGCTTTTATGTTTTGAAACGTCATGTGTTGACCAAGTTTCGTGTAGATTGTATACATGGAAGAGGAATAAACAGAACAGAGTTATTATAAAAAAGCTTACTGTTTAATTATCTTGTGATCATAATACATAATGTGTTTACATTAGATTGAAATGATCCTAAAAATTGTAAATGCAAAAGCAACAGAAGGTCAAACGTCGATTTTTTTTTTAAACTAAGAATTAAAAAAAATATTTATAACATGTACGTTATGAGCCTGGTATAGTTTTACTATGTGCATGTCACTTTCGGGTTCAATAGTGATGTCACGCAATCAGAAATCCGATTTGGAATACACAGGTTCATTAATAGTCTTGCCTTGCTGCCGGTACGCCTGGGATACATCATAATCATCATTAATTTCTCTCGTATGGTCATATATTTCACTAATCTCGTTTCTCTGAATCAACCCGTGTGTATCTGTCTCATCATACACCGTATCAACATCTCGATTGTGATCATAATAACAGACATCCTCCTCGACATTCGGCCTGTTCTTCCGGCATGTACTTGACACATCATACTCATCGCTATCGGGCAACCCTGCTTGGTCATATACTGTTCCTTTTTGGTTTATTTCCTGTTGATCATACTCCGCGTGGTTGTTCACCCTTTTTGCCGACAGCAGAAGATTTGCATCACTTTGATCTTTTTTCATGCAATCCGGTGTATTGGGTTGGTTTTCAATTATCTGGTCGCCTGTCACTGTCGAATAATAAACATCAGTTGCAGCGGGTACCTCTTTATGCATAGAACGTTTTCGTCTGCAAATTAAATATAGACAGGAGGAAAACGATGAAACGTCACCAATTTCATATGTACTTATTGAAATAAATGAACAGTGTCCATTTCGTGACAGAAATGTGGTTGTAGAGAATTTACTGTTGATTGTTTATTTTGGTTTTTATTTGATCCCTGTTGGTTTTAATGTTTGAAAAAATTATTTACTTTGGTTTGCAGATCATTTCGTCTTGAACACTACATTTGTACATCATATTAACAATGATGTCTACGTTTAAAAGGGACCAACAACCTGAAGTAGAATAATGGCAGCTTTCGAATAAAAAACAAGCAAAGTACATGTACTACAAAATATATAGAACAATAGACATTTGAAATAACAAAGAACTGGGGTTGACATAAGAGTCACAACACGAGTCTGTGTATTAGTTAGTGATTTCTGCTTCTATGTACCCGTTATAAAATTATTACTTCAACAATTCAACGAGTGATGACATACTAGAAAATCTACGAGAAGACAAACAAGGATAGCAAAACATTACACAAAAAACTAAGAATTGATTGAAACGAACCCAATCAAAATCCACAAGTGCTTCGGAAGGGTAATCCATTTGTAGGGTTGATATCGTAATCATAGGATTATTTATTGGGAATGTTTGTTGAAAGAACCAATTACTTAATTATATTCTTTTTTTCTACTGTTCCTGATACAGAACGTTTTATTTCTTCAGCATGATCTAAACCGTATTCGTTATATTGTGCTAACGTTTTCATCTCAAGTGCGGGAGATTGTGGGTTCAATTACGGCCGGATCAATCAAAAGTGGATTCTGTAGATCTATAGGTTATCAGCTAAGCACGTGGTATTACGGAGTAAGAGCAAACAGTGGTAAACCTGAGGTCAGAACAATATACCCGAAGAGGTTGACATGTCTTCCTGCAAACTGTTACCTCGTGTACTAACACTTTACAATTCCTACTACGTTTGTCGGTCTAGTACAAAGATTGGTTTTTATTTCTATCGCATTAACATATTCTTGACTTGCTAAATCATTGACATAATCTTACAATCTCATAACTTACTAGAAGATAGTCGACTTCTTTTTAGATACTATTTAGTAATTGTTATATGTGTTTTTTCGTGTTATATAAACGAGTTCATTTTGGGGAACATTCAAATAAAAACTCAATCAGTATGCAATGTAGAGACAAATTTATAATTGGAACAATATAAGTGTCCGGTGTTAAACACCTACATACCACTAACTTCATTATCAAAATAAACTAAAATACTGAAGTATGTTCAAGAATATTTGAAGCGACAACAACGATCTTACCTTCTGACACAGACAGCTAGAACTATCAAAAATATCAGCAATATGGCCAGTGTCACTGCTATTCCAACATATATACTAACCATGCTAACTAAATGACATGTAAAATAGTTTCTTTGTTATTTGTTTATCACATTCGTTAAATAGCTATTAAACAAGTAATAGACAATTTATTTTCTTTAAATTTTTGATTGGATAATTATGATATAAATACATTGCATAGATGTGATTGAACTAACACAACTATCAGATTTAACCTACATTGAAAAAATTACAACAATCCTAACCTGTACAAAAACTAACTTAGAACAGACCTGTTTACCGCTTCCCAAGTTAATTTAAGACATCGTAAGCAGACAAGCAAGTTAACGTCATCGGTGGTAGACAAGACTTAGGTTTGATTTTTAAGGACTGCTGCAAACCTATTGACAAGTCTGCTCCAGACCAGACCTGTGGACAAGTCTATTTTTGACCAGTGTGTTGACAGATCTGCTCCTGACCAGACGTTAGGACAGGTCTGCTGTTGACAGATTGTTGTGTTTAACCATTTTCATATCAGACCTGATCTTTGATTATAGAAACGATGATCGTATTGTTCTATTTTCCAGTATAATTGAGCAAAATAATATACTCTTGACGCTGTGACTCTATTATACAAATTAAAATATCTTTTTTTCCAATTATTCTTGTATAGATAAAATAATAGTTATAAAATTTTGCAGTTTTTGATCGACATATTTTAACCTGCAGTCATTAAAGAAAGGAAACATGATTTTCCTAATTTGAAGGCGGATGAAAGGGTTATCTAGCGCATTGGAAAAATATTTTATATGATGGAATAGTAGAAAACTTTGTTTAAATTGCTTCGTTCCTCACTTATTTACAGTCTCTCTATGAGTTTTCTCATCGTAAATCACTTTGCCTTTGATTTACGATCAGATTTTTGAGAGAATGTCTAAACGAAATTCTAAAACCTGTTGCATGTTAACTCTGACCCGCCGAAATGACTGGTTATCAAGTTCACTTGCTTTACAGGTTAGGACTGCACCCATTTGCACGTCTCAGAAGCTGTGTAATTCAAAAATATACATTTTTTTCAGCAGCTTCACACCAAAAATGTCCGTAAATAGCCTAGAAAAAAGCGAAATTGGGAAAACAGCTCAAAGTAGTTGCCATTTACGTTACCAAAAATCTGAATTGAATATCATCCGTTTAAATGCATCTTTTCAGTTGTACTAGTATACACAACTTAAACAATAATAAAACTTAATTTCTTTTCAGATGGTTTAATAAAGGATCGACAGACACACCTGGCGTTATCACAAATCACGAATGGAACCGATTTTAGCCTGCACTCATTATCATAAAATAATATTTATAATAATTTATATTTATATACTAGTATTGAAGTTTACCTTTCGAATCCCCTGTTTCTTGCTCATTGTTCGTTGTAATACCGTTTGTATCTACAAATTAAAGATCCATCATATGTCATATATTCCCAAAAAATTCTAACTTATACATTTCTACAGTTTTAGACTGCATTACAATGACCACATTATGTACCTTGCAATGAAAATTCCTCAGAAACGAAACCAGAGGTCATCCTCTTATAAAGTAGTGTTTGTTATATGCTTGCATGCTTTGGTTTGGGTTTTTGCCTGTTTGTTTTCTTTCTGTTGTTTACACTAATCGAGAGACAAAATGATGGCATAGATTATTTTGGCACTATCTTTTGTTCTGTATTAAAACGATAATCAATTTTGTTATATACTGCTATCATTATTGTATTTATTAAAACAAATAAACAAATAGAAGAGTCAATGAATCTGGTTTCCTGAAACTCATGTAACTTATTATGGTACACTGCCAATACAAAACGGAACAACAGAGAGGATTTTGTATTGGAAACAATAAAATGAAATAGATCGATATACTCTTTTCTTTTGATCAGGCAGATTGATAAATCATTATTTATTAGTTTCGCAGTATAATTCGCCATGATTTTGGGACCATACCAATGAAACATTTCCTCGCTAAAATTGCATTGACATTTTTAAAAAAATCAACGGGACCTTAATGATAACAATTACAAACCTGTTCCTGCATTTTTCATTGTTATTCAACGCAAAATAATTATCTAAGATACCTGGGACGATCTCATTTCATAATGGATCTCTTTTGTTTATTTATTGTACCTCGAACTTACTAACCCGGTGTAGATCTTTAATTCGAGGTTCAATTTACTAAAAGTTAATCGGGCATGGTTAATTAGACACGCCCTCTTAGAATCAGGGGGTCCAAAATAGGATCGGGAAAAACAGCCAGCGAAATGCCGTAATTTACAATTTCAGAGAATCAAAGAGCTTTCGGTTGATTTAAAATCTCCGGTCAATAATCAGACGGTATTTGAGTGGAAATACAAACCTGTCCGAAACCGGGAAATGTTGGCTGCAACAGGAATTTATTTACAAAATAATTCCATAACTCATTTACTTATAGTGGCCGTTATTGATTGTAAATTAATGTCGTTTTATTTTTGGCATTGTCTACCGTGCAGAAAAAAAGGGGGGAGGGGATAATAACTTAACTTACGAATTTGATCATGGTTCAACTTTATTCTAGTACGGCAGACGTTTTACCTCTAGCCAATGCTCTATCTTATTAAAATGTCACTCTAAAATTGTTACACTGTATCATTTGCTTCCGGTCGATCCACTTTGCATCTCGTCGTGAATATGCATGATATATTTGCCACTGGACATTAAGGAAGCAATCAATTAATCAGCTTCATTTAGTGATGTATAATTACTAGTCTTTAGTTGATAATTGTCGCAAACAGTTTTCTAATTTTTATATATTTGATTTTTATTTATATTTGATTTTTTAAGCGTACATTTTAGCATTTCTTTCGTAATTTTTCTCTTTGCATTTAATTTTTTTTAACATTACATAGCGTAGTCTATATCAAGGGTTACATTGTATCCTATCCACCTAACCTAGGAGGAGGGGAGTAGAACAGAAAAAAAACCATCTTCATTGAGAGGCAATAACTCATATACGGAAGCGTACAATGAAGGCAGTCTCGTCTAGGTGACAAAATTTGCTGTGTCAAGTTTTTTTTATATCTGGTATAGTTGTCATAAAAGCAAAAATGGATAAAAAAATGTTGGCAACAATTTGTATAAGGATTCAACTTATTTTGACCGTTTCATTTATTTTTTAGATATTGTCTTACTGAACGGTTTTGTTATCTATAGTTTTTTCCATCTACAATTGTCCTTGTAAAACGTGCAAAAATGTGTTTAAATCAACCATGCGACTTATTTGAAGATTTAGTTGACTTTTGTTGTTGTTTAGAGATTTCACTCATTTAACTTGTGCGTAGATCGTATTTCCCCCCTCGAAGAGTTATTCAAATGGTTCTTTAACGTATAGATAGCATGAAACTCTCACTACACCAGGCATTGGACATACGACATTTCTATTTCGACCGGACGAAGCTGCGTATTTATACATCCGAACAGCCAAACGGACGCACCCCTTTAGCAAGGGTATACTGTCGGACGGGAGAATTCCAGAGATGTCAAGATATTTCTATACCCAAGTAAATCCTTTGGTTTTTATTGGAAGGAGATAAAGGTATACATTAATGCGATAGCAACCCAACGACACAGACAAATCAAAACATTAAGAGTCAACATGCAGTCTTTTGTAATAGAAAGATGCCTATACTGAATAATAAGCTCAAAACCGCCCCATGACTAAAACATACGGAGTTGATTTAATAATATTTACCGTCAAAGATATCCGAACAGACACATTTGATTTAATATTATTTACTGTCAAAGATATCCAAACAGGCACAAGTGTCTGGTTGAAAAATTTCACCTGCCCTTTTTAATTTCGATCGGTGGAAATTAAAGATGTGTAAAATAAACCAGTAGACGAAAAACACTTCACTGTACAGTAACGGTAAAATAAATGATGATAATGGAAGACGTCAAGCGGTAAATAAAATGCATATTCAGGATGAAAACATGTAAATAAAATATGAATATTAACAGTGCTTTGTACTAGACCGACACGCTGAACCGGATTTTTTAACTTGTAAGTTCGCAAGCTAATAGTTCGCAAGAAGAAAAGTCACCCTACGCGGACACATTTCTGACTCCGAGCCGACCAGTCAGTGCTCTTACTCGTAAATGCCGCGTGTTTAGCGTTGAATTAGCAAATACCAATTGTAACGTCTTTGTTTGACCCGGTTGGGATTCGAACCAATGACCGCCCGCTCTCGAGGCAAACACACTCACACGAGACCAACCAGGAATGCAGAAGTAAAGAATATCATACCAAAACTCAAGTACAATAAACAATAGTTTCACAGAATTTTCAGTTACTAAAGCGAGTTAAAAGTATATAACCTAAATTAGATGCGTTAAATGATACTGGAAACTACACGTAAATGTCGATGGCTGGCTTCAGAGTAGATTTCATGGACCAACGCTCTCTACAAATTAAAAACTCTTGCACCAATTATTTGAAGGGTCCGGATGTTGCCAGCTGTCCTTACTCAATATACCCTCATTTTCCAGTGGTATTCCAAGTTTCACGTCCCACCCCACTTTCGATCTCCTATTGTAAGACCTACCTATTGTATTGAAAATTTATGTGTTCTCGTCATGAACATGCATGAAATATTTGCCACTGGACTTAAAACAAACAACAATTAATCAACTTCATAAATTATTCCATGTACACAGTACACGAGGACAAGATCTTGTAAAATGGTATAAAGTAAAATTTCCGTTTAAATCACTAAATAATAGTGGAAATTTTTTTATGTTTGTTTTTGTTTTTGTTATTTTTTTGCAATTTACTACATAACTGAACACTTATATTTGTTTTTTTAAATATTTTTGTTTTACTATGGTTATTATCTACTGTTTTATTACGATTTATAATATATGATTATGTCAGGCGATTATAAAACTAAGAAAGGAAAAAAGATTTTTTCAAGGTGTTTATGGTTCATTTAGACTTGAAAAGGGAATGACGGACGACTAAAATATAAGTGTTTGTTTTCATATAATACATTTTATTTCAATTTAAGAATGATGATCGACCTTGCGAAAATATCTCATCTATACACATTTTGATCGAGCCACTTAAACTTAAATAACTTGATGTTAAAGATGTTACATTTAGGCTATTTAATACGATTTTATTCGTTGAAGTTTACAGGCATAGTTTTTTTATTTTAAAAACACAAACAAAACAAGATTTATTGATTAATTGGACTGAACAGACAACACTAACTATTTTGCAATTACATGTAACGTAGTGTTTGAAAATTACAGAATCAAAACCAAAATGAACATTTACCTGAATATTGTGATGGTCAGTTGTAAATGATGTCTGTATAGAGTTTTGATTTACTCATTTATAAAATAAAAAATCTTTATTTTGATAAGTTGAAATTCAAAAATATAAATTTACCCCTTAATTTTATAAAACTAACCTATGGTGTTATTTTAATGCTAAAACAAATTATAATAAATAAATAATTAAATAATGTAATGCCATTTAATCGGTCCGTTTCCAATGCAATTAGGTAAATATTTTAACAGCTATATGTCCAATTTTATTTAAAAGACAAAAATGTTAGTCAAAACGTATTTTAGATTTATAGTTTTATTTAGGCATTAAAAATGATTTTTAGTAAAAGAGCACGACATCGTGTTTCTAGAATAATTGTCATCAACCTTGACAATATTATTTGTATATATCAGTCTGAGTACTGTTTAACTATCATTTAAGCTGAATACATTTAGACTCGTCCAATTCATGGGAATAAGGCTTCTGCGCGTGGTTTTTTGTGTACTTTTCTTATCTTTTTGACGGTTTGTAAGTCAGTAAAAGTCCAATGATTACGTTAATATTGACATTAAAAGACCTCCTCACAAAAAGGGCTGTTCAAATCCCCTCGCCCTTCGGGCTCAAGGATCTCAACATCCCTTTTTGTTCGAAGGTCTTTTAATATCAATATTAACTTATCATTGAACTTTTACTACTACTAAAAAGAGAAATAAATGAGTAAAGGACATCAAATTGATCTAATATAAACTGCAATTACTGTATTCTTCTAAATTGGAATATTTCAATTTTACATGGGAAGAAAAACGATATTTTGTGCCTTATTATTAAGGGTTTTTTCGTGGACCGTGATGATCCTTGGTCCTATATTACTTACGTTGCAGTGTGAATAATTTCTAACTTTTTCTCTCGTGTCAGTCATGCGGTTTTATATTTTAACATTGTTACATGTTTGCTATCTATATGTATATAAAACATGTAAATTATCAAGTCAGGGATTTTGCTATGACAAATTACAAAAATTAGAGTTAGGTATAAATCTCAAAAATACATTGAGCAATACTAATCAACGCAAAAGGAAAACAACGGGAATTGTATCTCTTTCCAAAGGAAAAAGATGAAATTGGGGGAATCGCCAGGATTAGTGTTTCCTGATATCCATGCATATTAACCTGTCATGCGAATCCACACTCAGTCAAAAAGTCATAACCTTTGCTAGTTTTTTCATAAACACGAATGATTAAGCAATTCTTTTTAATACTGATATGTTTGCATTGCACGATGTCTTAAAATTACAAACGTTTGATTTGTTCTGATTGATATTTCAAAGCGAGAAAACATTTTGTATTTACTAGTTGTACATGGGTTTGAACAACCTTTCAGTAACTGGAAGTACTCTTATATCGGTACTGTGTATCATATGTTAACTGTTAAACTAATATTGTGTAGGCCGGTTTTGTGAATCAAGCTTTCTCCATTGAATTCCACACTTTGAACTTTTGTTTTGACATATAGCTGTTAAAATATTTGTCCTTTTGTCTCTAGTAAAAGGTTGTCTCATTGGCAATCCTATCACTTATCATTTTTATTAATATATGTGGCAGCAATATGAATCTATTCCTACATACTTGACAAACAAGCGTTTCAATTTTGTGTAGTTATAATTTTTGTAGTTCAATTTTATTTAAAAGACAAAAATGTTAGTCAAAACGTATTTTAGATTTATAGTTTTATTTAGGCATTAAAAATGAATTTTTAGTAAAAGAGCACGACATCGTGTTTCTAGAATAATTGTCATCAGCCTTGACAAATATCATCATATTTAATGTTGGTATTTTTTAAATCTCTATGATGACTCAACCTTTTACAAATAAAATATTTCATCATAACACAGATTAGACACATTGAAAATTCAAATTTTGTTTGACAGTATAAAAATATTGGTTGAAATAATCGCTATTGTCCTTAAAAACGCGTTTGCTATTATTACAGAAAAAATAAGAAGAAAGATTTAGTCGTAACTTACCCCAGACGTCTTTCTGACAGAGAGAATGGTAATTTTTGTCACAATTTTGAGCTGTTAGAATATACTTGGAATCTTTTGTGAGCTTTATTGCTAAACATATGTATCCATTTTTCTTATACATATCAGTTGGAATATCTAAATGCAACACAAAAACAAAGTTCTTGATGCAAATACATGTAAGCACGCAAAGTATTTTATAAAAGAAAGAAAATGAGAAAGAAATCAATGTCAATGGCAGCGTTCAAATTTTTTCTACGACTCAATACTATTTATGTATTTAGCATTAGGCTAAACTAAAGTTCAGACATGAAAACCAAAACACGCAGAATATTCCATAAGGTGATTGGGCAATATTAAATGGACTGTAAACAAACTATCTGCACAGCAATGAAACATAATTGTACATGAAAAATAATTCAAACTCCTATGAAGACATACTTGTATACATTTAAACATCTAAAGATAAAAATTGCCATTCTTGTCCATATTTCATGCATTATTGATTACTAGTATAAGTCTTTACATTATCACTCAGTGTGTTTAAACTTCGAAGAAGAAGAGAAGCTTATATAAGTATAATCTATGTTTATGTATGAAGAAAATGCTTTATGCGATAGGATTATTAATGTATAACGTACCTGCATTCCAAACAATCCTCTCCTTAACGAATCTGTTGTGCCATAATTTATCTGCAAATTGTTTGTCATTATCACACTGGTTGTTCAAAAGTTGAATATATTTTGTAAATGTGTTGCATGTTTTTCTTGCATCGTACCAATTCAACTTACTCTCAAAACATCTAACATCAATCTTCCTGGTGCCGTCTGTTGCAGGTAACAAATACATTATACATGTTGTAAAAATGAAAATACATCTTCACTTCGGCAAAAGGTTATGCATTGCAATAAAATAAATCAAACCTTGTTTCTGTGTAAATTTAAGATTATTATGTCAAAATTAAGTAAATCATGTAAATGATTCCGTTTTTGCTTTAAACCACAATGATTGTTATATATTATATCTACAATATATTATACAATCTATTCAAAATGACTCCGAGAGATTCATTTACCGAAATAAGATAACTCTGTCAATATTGAAACATGGGACAACAAACTAGAGAATCCAAAGATCCTGTCTGGCCATTGTATCTTCAACAATGTCAACTTGTTGCTAAGAATCCTCACGTGAGAGCAGTAACGCTGTAACGAGTTCACTGACAATTTCAGTCATGTTTGCGTATTTGTAGAGATGCCCTTCTGATCACTTTTGCCTTTTAAAGTTTCCGTCCACATTTGCATCTATTGTTTTTTTCAAGATAATAGGCAACAGCCAAAAAAAATGTATCATCTTCATTTTGATTAGTTTCTTTTCTTACCTATTCTGACATCGGACTCGGACTTCTTTTAAACTGAGTTTTACTGTGAATATTGCTGTGTGTTTGTTTAATCTACATTTCCTAGAGGTATATGGTGAGAGATGAGATCACACTAAACATGTTTTACTCCGCCTCATTTTTTCACCTGTCCCAAGTCAGGAGCCTCTGGCCTTTGTTAGTCATGTATGTTTTTTAAATTTTAGTTCATATATATGTTAAGGAGTTTAGTATGACGTCCATTTTCACTGAACTAGTACATTTTTTGGTTTAGGGGTCAGCTGAAGTCCGCCTAAGGGTGCGAGATTTTCTGGCTGTGTTGAAGACCTATTGGAGGCCTTCAGTGAACTTGAAATTAAGGATACTACTGATACTAGACGGACTGTTTCATACCTTGATCTCTTCCTCAATATTGACACAGATGGACGACCTCAGACAAAAATATATGACAAACGGGACGATTTCAACTTCCCAATTATCAATTTCCCATTTCTCAGCAGTAACATATCCTCTGCCCATCGTATGGTGTTTACATATCTCAGTTGATACGTTATGCTCGTGCATGTTCACACTATACAGACTTCATATACAGGAGTGTGCTCCTTACGAAGAAACTGTTCAAACAAAGTTATGAGGAAGAAAGATTAAAAATGACACTCCGTAAATTTTATGGACAAAATCACGAATTGGTTGATCAATACGATGTGTCTGTGTCTAAACTAACTAAGGACATTTTTACCACGTCTTAGATTGTGGTTTACCATTTACGTCGTCTGGTCTTTAAAGTACCGAGCGTGACCTATTCCCGAATATGACTGTTTTGCTGAGTGTGAATTCGCATTGCTACATGTATAAGGTGTAATACCACCAAATCATAGTACGTCACATCCGGTTGCATACGAAAATAGGTCGAACAAAATATTCCCTTGAATTTGACAGTTGTAGGTAATTGATCCTACATTTCATTGCAGTAAAACATTTCTGTGTCATAAACATAAATCTTGGGTATTTCAAAGCACCATTATTTTATCATTTAGGGTTTCTATTGAATATTTTAGAAACTTGAGGTTACATGGTTACTAAAGCTTGTACACAGGTTAAAAAAAGGGGAAAACTTTGATTGGTTAACTTCCAGTGATGGTTATTTTCTTATATGCAATGAAATGTTATGTGATTTTTTTTCTATAGTACTGGACAGGATAAAACTTTACTCATGCCAAGTATTTCTTTATTCAAAACAAAGATAAATTCTGCACAATTTTTTGAAAAATGCAAATTTAACAAAGACTTATGGGGGAAAATCAATGGTGGTATTACACCTAATATGGGAAGCTGTACATGCACCTTTGACCTTGTAAGTACTCTCCTGTGTTCAAATTTCTTGCTATTTAAGTGAAATATTACAAATAATGAAATATTCTGAGTGAATTGAGTCTCCAAAACACATTTTATGGGAAAATTTCCTTAAAATAGGACTTTACCATGAATTTTAGTTGACAGAACAAGCCATACTTAGAGTTTTGGGGAGCTTTTTCTCCTTATTTCTTATATTCTGCTATACTAGAAAATTTTTTCTAAGAAATACTTTAATAAATATATAGTGTTAAGTAAATGAAATTATTTTTAAAGCAGTAACAACAAATTATTCACCAAAAGAGAAGCTTTTTATGTCCCTCTCTGGAACGCGGCGTAAATTTAAGTTTTACGTAAGGACTTATTGAAACCTCCTTGGAGACAATAAACTTTTATACGGATAGTTCATTCAGCTTGAATACTTCAATAAATCATTTATTATAACATCTCTATCATAAATGAGTGAAAGTTACCCCAAAATTTTTATTTATTGGCCTAAAAAGTAGAAATTTAGATGAAATGAGAGGTATAAATGGACCAAAAGAGACCTCATAAGGAAGACAAAGAGGTCCATTAGTAGTATTTATCATCTTAAAGTCATCTTTTGTATCATATTCAACTGTTTGTAGGCAGATGAGATAAATATTTGATCATTTATTGGTCCACACTATATTCTATCATGATGCGGCTTGGTTTGGATTTTTCGAAGAAATTTTGCTCGAATCGCTGTAGATTTTGTCTTACATTATACTAGATTTTTCTCAAACTATTGAACTGATTATGACAAAACTTGACAGGAATGCTTGAAATAACCAGTATTACAAAGGAAAAAAGTCACATTCAGTTTATTTAACAAAAAAGTCTTCTTTAGGTGTAATACCACCAAAAATCATAGTACGTCACATCCGGTTGCATACGAAAATAGGTCGAAAAAAAATATTCCCTTGAATTTGAAAGTTGTAGGTAATTGATCCTACATTTCATTGCAGTAAAACATTTCTGTGTCATGAACATAATTATATCTTGGGTATTTCAAAGCACCATTATTTTTTTATTTGGGGTTTCTATAGAACATTTTGGAAACTTGAGGTTTCATGGTTACTAAAGCTTGTACACAGGTTAAAAAAGGGGGAAACTTTGATTGGTTAACTTTCAGTGATGGTTATTTTCTTATATGCAATGAAATGTCATGTAAAAAATTTTCTATAGTACTGGACAGGACAAAACTTTACTCATGCCAAGTATTTCTTTATTTAAAACAAAGATAATTTCTGCACAATTTTTTGAAAAGTGCAAATTTAACAAAGACTAATTAATAGGGGAAAATCAATGGTGGTATTACACCATAAGACGTGTCTCGGTATTTGTTTATCCAACATTCATGTATTTAGTTATGATGTTTTATTTGTAATTCTGATCGGATATTATTTTATGTCTTATCGTTTGTAGTTGTAATTCTATTTTTTATTTTCTATTCGTATGTAAAAGTAAAAATAATTATTCACCAAGTTCATTTATATGATTTTAGTTTAAAGCAACTATATGTAAAGTATTCATTTGTTTTAGAAGAAATACCGATATAGTCAGATAATACAATTAATTACACAATTCTATATTTATATTCTTGTAATTGCTATAGAATACATCAAATAACATAATTACAAACCTAATCTCGATTTATATCCATTTTTTAGAAATTTACCTGTGACGTGAGTTTTTGTGGCGTTGATACATTCGTGTGACGTACAGTTCGTAATTCTATTATGCTGTTTTTGTGTACAGTCCTAAACTATTTTAGGTATTCGTTGTTATTCTGTGGTTAACATGTCGAAATGTATTATTTTATATTTTATTTATGTATTTCTCTGTCATGAGTGTTCTTGCATTTATTTGTACTGTATTCCTGTCATGTAATTTTGTCATTTTAGCGGTATATTTTACATTGTCATAAAGAGCGAGGTTTGGCTAGCCACAAAACCAGGTTCAATCCACCATTTGTTCTTAAAATGTCCTGTACCAAGTCAGGAATATGGCAGTTGCTATCTTATAGTTTGTTTCTCTGTATGTTGCATTGTCGTTTGTTTTTTGTTGCACTTCAGTGTTTCTGTTGTTTCGATGTTTTCCTCTTATAGATGATGTGTTTCCCTCGGTTTTAGTTTGTAACCAGGATTTATTTTCTCTCAATCGATTTATGACTTTTGAACAGCGGTATACTACTGTTGCCTTTATTTTTTACTCTTTGGTCGGATTCTTGTCTCTTTGATACATTTCCTATTTCCATTTTCTATTTTATCTTTTTTAGTTTTTAAAATTAAAGGCAAAACGGTAACAATTAATTACATTTGATATTTAAGGGGAAACACTCCTTTAAGAAGTCGTCTGGCAGTTTTAATGTTAATGGACATCAAGTAGATCTGATTACTCAGAACATTTCTGCTTGTGTCAAATTTTCTCTATTCAAGATTAAAGAAAACAATATCATTTTACAACTTTGTTCTACGTGCAGCCCTGTCCGTTATGTTGGTTTGCAAGCGGGGTCATCCGAACCTTTTTAAACTAGATATATAATATTGATCGTAGCAAAATTAGACCCAGTAGTTTTAGTGGAGACGATTTGTTTTAAAAGTTCACGACGACAACGGATGAGAAGAGCTCACTTGGCCTTTCGAGCAGTTGAGCTAAAAAAGCATGAACACTTCATAGATACTAGGTTATTACAATTGTGTACACCAGACGACACGTGCATTTCGTCCGAAAAATACGCATTAGTGACGCCCGAGAAACAAAATTCATAGCCAAGAAAGTACGAATTTTAAAAGCTTTGATGACCCAACAAATCGGAAATGTTTTGCCAAATACATATTCAGTGTTATCTATTCCTGTGGTGGAACATCTTTAAAATGAGACATTATTGAAAACCCTGATAATTATTTTCTTGTTTGCATACAACATATGCCATCAAATACTAAAGTTGTATCTTGTTGCTATGTTCGCAGCCGCCAAAGAAATAAACAAACAAGTAAAGCAAACTTTACTGAAAACAAACTGAGAAATATATGTGATTGGTACCTGTTTCAGAAGGTTTATCAATGTACCGTTTTGCAAAATCAAACTTTTACATGTTCTATTGGGGAAGAAATTGGTATTATAAACAAAGTTTTACGATGATGTAAGATTTTGTTAATAAACATATGGAGAGAAAGTAGAGGTTATATTTATACATTGTTATTGCAGAATTGAAATCGAGTATTCCTGACGAACTGTACCTGCTTCACAAATGACATCCTTATTATTGAAATTGGCAAGTCAAATGTCCTTGATAAGTCACTTTTGGTGATGTCCCAACTGATGAAATAAGGTCGAGATTTGGTCGACGATTTGTTGAAATATCCGTGATTATCTCTGCCACAGACATACAATAAAGGTAAACATAATGGGGTCTTAAAAACTTTCGAATCAATGACTTATTTCGATGCAATAGCTCGGGGTCAGCAAATCTTAATGAGGGATTCAATGATATAATAGAAAAGTTTCTAAATACTTAATTGTTCCTGGTGTCTCCGGGTGAGCTTCGCAAACAATAAATACTATCATTACAAATTTCACTTACATTGATTGATAGATCAGGACATACGTATTTTCCGTGATAACGATGCAATTAATTGTGTTAAAATATAGAAGATAATTTTATTGGTGAAAGGAAAGTTATGGTTTGTCAGATGGAAATAGCTAAATTTACGACACTGATAATATCGTTAGCCCAATTGAACATAATCGTTATATATATGTTAGACTCAGATCGACGTCCGGTCTCTAATGCAAGTCCATTCCTCAAATCGACGTCCACATCTGACGTCACGTTCTCAAATCAGTGTCCAATAATTTCACTCTCTAATCAACGTCCAAAATGAATCACAAAACGACATCTGATTGATGATAGTCTGCTCTCATCTCGATGTCTATTAATTACATTGATTCATTTGATCTTTGTTAATATTGTCTGTATCGTTTTGTCTTTTCGTGAAGTAGCGTACAGAAGCTATAACTGTTTTCTTATATTGTACGACAATAAGACAACAAACCAACGACAAAGATAATCGAAAGACATCTAGAGGGCAGGTAGTATGTCAAAATGCGCATATGGTGCAGAAAAGAAAATGGTTCCGTTTATGATATTACTACCACTGGGTCGATGACTCTGCTGGTAGACTGATAGTTCCCGATGGTATCACCAGCCCAGTCGGCAGTACTTCGGTACTGGCATGAAATACGGATTTTGTGTTACTTAAATTTTTCTGTTACAAAATTTTGGGAATTATTTAAAATTAAGGAATATATGTCCCTCATGCAAAGCTCTAATTCCTTGCCCGGCTTTGGATACACTTTTGTTCTTTTTGTTTTATAGCTCTTCGTCTTTTTCATAAGCTTTGGATTTTCAAATATTTTGGCCTGGATCATCAGTTAAGAGACATTGATTGTCGAAATGTGCATCTAGTGCAGAAAAATTGGTTCCGTTTATGTTATACTGACTCAAACAATATAGACAAAATAAACACGTACGGCCAATTATTGAAAAGTATCCTTTATGATTTGGTCTTATATTTGTGAACAACTTTTTGAGTTTTAGGTTCCATCCACACTTTAACATGTTTAATAAAGATGTGATTTCACTGCGACAAGTCCATAAAACGGACGTCGATTTGAAAACAACAAAAAAGACGTCGATTTGACGGACCTCAAATTGGCCGTCGATTTGGAATGTTTTTTTATTGTGAAGTCATATTTGGACGTCGATTTGAGGAACAGACATCGATTAAAGACTGGACGTCGATCTGAGTCTTACATGTACATATATTCATAATTTAACATATGATTTTAAGATATTAACACAATTATAGAATATACATGCTTAATCCAATTTTACCTGATTGTTTGACCTCCTCACACTTAAACTGTAAGCCTTCTTTACAACTGATACGGTTTACTTTGTGACTATTGCCAAACGTATAGAAACAATTACCTCCAATTTCTTCACCTGTAATTGTTGGTTACTTTTTTTTTGCATTTTTGGATATTGTTCATGCAGCATTTTAACGGCAATTAAATAGCTTGTCTTAACATGCTTAAACTTTTGTGTTCCCTATTGTGCTTCGTGTGAAGATAAACTATGTTTGCAAAAACACACATATACAAATGTATTACAATTGTAAAGGAGTTTGCATTTCATGTAACATGCTTAAAATTATTTATACTATGAAAACCAATCATAAATTATAATCAATGAATTCAAGATAAGCGATTACTCTTATATTGTTAATATATTTATTAAATTAATATGAATGTAAATCATAATTGCAAAAACTTACTACTCGATAATCCTATCAGTTTATACGCTGAAAAAATATATTGTGTGCCTCCACATCTGTCAACATTGTCTTCATCACATCGTATGTCGCAGATCTTGGTTGATACCTTGCGTACTACCTCTTGTCTAACCCATTGTTGTTGCGTTTTATCCGGTACACAATAGCAAGTATCATTCTATTTGTTATCAAATATATAAGAACACTGTTAGACGTACATTACACAGATATATATCTTTTTAAACCTTGACTTATATCTCGAACACTCACCAGTCAAATTACTCTGTAAACCAACATAAAAATTATATTCAATCATAATTTGAATGACCGTTATAGAATATATGTGTCACAGATGGCCGCTATTGTAAAATCACCAAATACAAAAGTTTACATTGCATCAGCAACAAGACGAGTGGAACAGGGCTTATTATCAAGCCGCAAAAAAACTTAGTTCAACCTGAACTTTCAGAGGGAGTACATTCGTTAAGTTTTATTTTCGGTTTTTTTTTCAGCGATTTTTATATTTGGTTGCCATGATGTTCCATTTATGTTTTTAATCACCCAGTTTGTATTTATTGTACGTGTTCAATAAAATTTGTCCGAAGCTATCAAGTGTTTAACTTTACCACTACGAAGTGTTACGAATACCAATGAAACAGTTATGCACCAGAAACCAACACTTAATGATTTTCCACCTGATGCTGAACAAAACTTTGTCAAAGACAAAAAGAAAAGCAAGCATCTTATATGGCAATGATATCCAGTCAATCAACAATCCAAAAAGGCTGGAATCACGTATTCCCCAATGAACTTGAGATTTAGGATACTGAGGAAACTAGAAGGATCTGCTTACTGTCTTTAATTTTTCCTCAATACTAACACAGATGGATGACTTAAATCTAGAATCTATGATGCACGTTATGATTTCAGCTTTCCAATTTTCAACTGCACGTAACGAAATATTACCATACCCTCTGAGTAACCGAATAGCATTTACATATCTTAATGTATATGTTACGCTGGTGCATATCCACACAAGACATACGTCATAAACAGTGATTTACTACTTTCAGCGTATTTACGTAACACTGGCATTTAAATATTCTGGCATGAGTGGGAAATCCAATAAAAGTGCTTTAGTTTTAAATTCCATTTACAAGGACTTGATTGTTATTAGGAAAAGATGGCCTTATATGGATTTGGCTACTTTTTATGTTCTTTCTGGTTTATTGTTGTTCAAAATTTTTAGGATCTTATACATCCTTGGCTTTCAACTATTCGGATTTAAGCGTTCCTGATGAATGCATATCAAGAAAAGCCCTTCACACGCATGAAATTTATATATGTTATTTTAATTTTTTTTTATCACTGCCGGTATACCATCATCTCTGTAGTAAGTGCTTCGATACTCGAGTGAATAAAAGGATATACATATCTAAAATTTTAAATGAGACTAATGACCGATGAATTTCATTAGAGTACCACGACAGGAGCCGCCATATGTGGAACAGAATTATCTTACTCTTGCAGATCACATGCGATCACCCCTGAGGTAAAATCAGTCAAATACTCAGTGCTTCGGTACAGACATGATTAATAACATAAATTTATTAAAATTTCCTGTTCATGAATTAATCAATGATTACGATTCCTGCCCTCACGCAAACTGACCTGCGAACAAATAAACTATCGAAAAATCGAATAGTCATTCGAAGTAATATAAACATAATATTTGATACACGAAGATGATACGCTTTACTGCATTTGGACAGGACGACAGTAAGGACTAATTCCAATATTAGGAAAGTATGCTCTACATTTATATTTTAACATGTATAAATGCAATTTATGCTCGTTTTATCTTATGTTATTCGACTCAGCGTGTCCACAAGCAAAAACATGAAAACGGAAAAGGCGACAGAAGAGGCAATCACACAGCATTTGTTAAAGAAAAACAGACAATACCATTATCAAAAGGATAACCACAAAACGACAAACAAACGTTAAACGCGATCAGGTTAGTGTTGATCCAGCAGTCTATATTGTTCTTGTACAGATCGATTTTAAACTATGGAACTTAGAAGATATTTTTTTTTTGAGATATTGTTTTCTAATTGACCTCTTTCGACTTTGTGTAATGTTTGAGAATTGAAATGCATTTTGTGGTTGTTATACGAAGTATTCGAATAAAGGAACGTTTTCAAACGATACGCTAATTTACAAATGCCATAAGTAGAGTTTACTTTCACAACGCTAATTTACAAATGCCATAAGTAGAGTTTACTTTCAATGACATTTGGTCACGAATTAAATACAGTTCGATGTATTTATTATTGGACTACTCGTTCTCTTATTTATGGTTTTTGTTTAATTTGTAACATAAGTAACTGAAACCAAATGCAACGTTGCTATTTAAAAAAATAACTTCCAAACATGTTACACAACTTCAGTAAATAGACAGGTACTTATGTCTGATTTGTTCTTGTTTTTAAATTTCATTTAAGTTAGATAATGTTTGATGATCATCTGAAGATTAGCTTTTAGTTCGTACAATTATTTATTCCAAAATCCATCTTGATTGTTTCATTGCATATATATATTGTCTTGTGTACTGTTTTTTTTTTGTTTTTTTTGCCATCGCTTGGTATTTTTTTTCAACTAATAAGCTTAAATATTCCTTTGATATCTTTTATTTATCCTTAACAACACAGAGAGAGAGATGACAATGTTTAAAGTCTATTACTGACAATGAATTTATATATGCATATATGGCAAAATTAGGTTTTTAATAACAAAAACGTCTTCTTTTTTATCAACTTATTAATTAAGAGCTATTAGAACATGCAATTTAAGATATAAGGCAAGCATATGTGTCAAGTAGAAATCATAATTTATTCCAATTACCTGTAGAAAAATGAAGTCTTTGTCTTTTAAGTATTCATCTTGTTTACAAAATAGGGAACACTTTTCAACACCGTTTTGATACAAAGTTTTATGTTTTCGTAATGCATTCACTGTATTTTTTACGTTTGTAAAATTCAGACACTCTAAAATAAAAACAAATATCACAATACAGAAGAGCAATTAAAGGTCTTTCCACATTAAACTTCTAAATAATTGGTAAGATGTCACCTGGGGTTTTCTCAAAGTCATTATTGATGTCCTATCATAGGTTTTTTATAGCGATATAAAAAATATATGATTTCTTACTTTTGTCTGACATAAGTGAAATAATTTGATACTTCTGGATTAAAAAATGACACTTCTGGTAACGTATGATAGCTTTAGTCATACTGATTCCAAAAAATATATGGTTTCTACATATTTTTGCCTGAAATGAGGGAGATAAATTGAAACTTCCGGTTTAAAAAATCCTTTCCGGTACCATCTAATAGGTTATTACACACTGATTCCAAATATATATGGTTCTTGGTAATTTTAAAGGAAACCTGTACAAAAACTGGCCGCTTCCGGTTTATAAAAAGTCACAATCTGCTGACCTTTTCTATGTCATATATTTTTCAACCTAATGCAAAGGACCCAATACCATTATGATTTATAAATATGAATGTTTAGCAAAGGTCAAAAGCTAGAACGTCAACTGTATCTTCAACATTGATCTAATTTTGAAGGTCATACAGCAAGAACATGAAATTGAAAGACCCTATGTTTCCTCTTAATATAGTTATTAGTTATACCACTATACAGCCAATCTTAAATTCCAGAGAGGAGAAAACCCCTTTTAAATGTGAATGTACCATTTGTCCAATGTATATGTATTGCGACACCTGGTAACCACATTTGTAGCAATAAAGGAAAAATATTCTGTCGATTTCTGATACGGTTTCTGATAAGAACCTTTAAGCCAAAATCAAAACTCAAATTTCAACATTTACAAGTGTAAATAGTGGAGTTTGTAAATGTCCTATAAATTTCCTTTCACTACCCAAACACAAATTCAGTGTAACTATTCCAGACGCATTTAAACACCAGGCACATCCAAACAGGTGACACTTTAAGCATGAGTTTTAACTGCAGATGGTTAAAGTCCATGACATTTTCTAATTTATTTTTCAATAAATAATATTAACAGGGATGAATTACATTCATGACTTACTTAGTAGTAAATTAGAGTAAATCATATATGGAAACAATCATTGGCACTCGTTCTATATCAGCCATCTACGGTGATTTCAATATCCAGTCCCAATCAGGAACATGCACCTGTGTTAAGTAACTATATAATCAAGTTCACATGTGATGGCGTTTCCGATATCACATATCCGATTCTGCATTAATTATTAACAAAATTTATGAATATCATTCATCGAGCAGAGTTGATACGGTTGTGATTTTGAAAAACAAACAGAAAAACATGTATACATATACTTATTTCTTGATTACTGAGTTGAAATTATTGCATCTGATAACGTTCTGCTGCCAGCAAAATGGAATAATGCATGTATCAAAGTTCAAGTTTTAAAAGGAAACGAACATACAAACTAGGTACTTGCATGCCAATACAATTTAATTACGGAATGCATCTATCGCATTCAACACTTTGATTTATGTTTGGGTTAACTTTACTTCTGGTACTGTTTGGTTTTAACAGCTTTTTAGACATTGTCAAAGTGTTTAATAGGTTGGGGCATTTAAATAGGTTGGCTGTGTGCATCACCAAAGAAATGCGCATCTTGTGAAATACAATGTGTATCGTTCATGTTATAGGTATGTCCATATAGAATATTATAATTGAAAAAAGAAATGAAGATATGTAAAAAAGTAAAACTAATGATTAATCTATTTTACCGTAATATTCCATGACAGGTGATCGTACTACAGAGCCATTTATCCAAAGAAAGGGGGGTTTCATTTTAAAATAAGGTAGCATATCATTTGCATTAATAGTCTGACATGAATCTGAACGACAAGAATTGAATATGCCCTCTCCAGACAATGTCCAGCCATCTATACAGTCATTGGCAGCCCTATCCCATGTATGATTGGCTTCACTCACATTAAAAACTGTAAGATAAGTAACAAATAATAAAAACAACATATGCAACTTTCATCATATATTTTAAGCTCCTGTATAATCTTCATCTTAAATTTGCACATAAAAGCAATCATTCCGTAGCAATTTTGCACATGCAAATGCAGTTTACGATAATTCCTAACACCAGTTGTTTTTGTTAGGAATAGTATCGATGCTATCAATTGATGTATGACCGTTGTGAATTTTTGTGTCACCAATATTCACAAATATCTCCAATTGTTGTTAACCACAATCCTGACTTCTTTTCCTTGTTCATGATTACACAGAATAACAGTTTTGCATTGTTGCATTACTCATGGCTGTTACTACTTCAGCAGGAGTTGTTAATTCCTTTAGTTTGTGATGACGTGAGAAAATTCCTACTTGTAAGTTAATGCGTTGAATATTTTAAAGATCATTGATTGCCATGAAATCATACAATTCATTGTATACATTACATTATAATTCACCTAATAACAAAATAGAAAAAAAACAGTTCTCTCAACCCTATTTAACAAAAGAAAGTACAATATACATAGCATGCATAAGTAGGTATACCTGTTGTATAAGGAGTTGACTTTAATGTCGTTTTTTCTGTCAATAGCTCGCCTAAACCTTCTGTTAAATCTAGATTAAAACAATAAAACAATGTAATTTACATTGTGTACATGTAATAACAAGTATGAAGACCGTATCTTGACCTATAATGGTTTACTGTTATAAATTGTGACTTGGATGAAGAGTTGTCTCATTGGCACTCATACCACATCTTTCTATATCTATGACAAACAATAAAATAACAAAATTACGAAACTCCCATGAAAATTAAAATCGGGAAGTCCCTAATTGAATGGAACAATCAAAATCTCAAACACATCAAACAAATGGAAAACAACTGTCATGTTCCTCACTTGGTAAAGTCATTTCAACATGTAGAAAATGGTGGATTAAATTTGGTTTTAAAGCTAGCTGAACAAAGAGACAATTCAGGTAAGAAAATCAAAAATAAGGGTACAAACTGATAGGTTTAATAGTATTTGCAAACTTTGAAGCTAAAGATCACCAGTTATGTAACTTTGATTTTACAAACAGGTCGAAATTAGAATATTTGACAATAGATTTGCACTAGGGTCTTACTTTGATAGACATTTTAAGGATCTGCTTACCCTTCCGGAGCACCTGAGATCAACCCAAGTTTTTTGTTGTGTACATTTTGCTCTGTCTTTTTATTTTTTAATCATTTCGTTGTCAATTTATTTTCGACTTCTGAGTTTGAATGTCTCTTTTGTATCATTGTACGACATTTGAACATTAATCATTTAAAAACTTTTTAAATAACTTACATGCAGATAGATATTTTTGCGATAACAGATTTCCAAAAACAAATATGTGTATGATACGATACATAAATCTGATAACAGTTACACTTATACATATGCTTGAGTAGTGATAAACCAAAAGATTTATAAACGTATTTTTACAACATCCGACCAGACAGGAAATAAATATAGATTTATCTAAACATGCTAAACCAGACTTGGTTTACACCTATTTGTAAAGTTATAAAGTGCTTTATGTGGTTTCTTGTAAAAGCCCATCTCCGTTTTACTTATGATATCCGAAGTGACTTGCATATGTCTTATTATTGTTTTAAATGTATTCTTTAATAGTCAATAATTGATTGATGAATTATAGATTTCTCCTTTAAGATCACATGGCCCATAGGGTCAAGTGAGCTATTGCCATCACTTGGAGTCCGTCCTAACTGTGATTTTTTTTATAAAGTCTTTTCCTCTGAAACTACTGAGCTACACTCAATATTGGCTGAATGATCCTTTTTCGTATCTATTTAGAAAATGTTTGTTTTTTATTGTGGTCTGTAAAAAACCATGACTACCATGGCTAAAAAAAGAACATACGGGTAAAATATTATTTTTGGTTAATATTTCAATGTTAAGACAGTACAATCAAAACTGATCTATAATACAACTAGGTCGAAATCTATAAGACACATTTGAGCTCATAATTTGAAGTTACTACCCTCGAACAAAAATTGAAAACAACACGTTTAATAATTTCATGCGTCCGAAGCGCTTTTCTGGATTTAGTTTCATCAGAAACGCTCAAAGCCAAACATTTGAAATCCGAGGATGTATAAGTACCGAAACCGTTGAAGAACTATATGACAAAAATACCTAAAACAAATAGCCAAATTCATCTAAGGTCAACTTAACAACTTTTTATGGAATTTGATAGTCCTTGGTTATTAACTTCAAAATAAATAGAAATTTTAAACAGCAAAAATGTCCAACAAAGTGAAATCTACTGATACTATATAGGTAAAATGATTGAATTCTACACTTCATCATTTATAGCTCTTGAAAGACTATTCATTTCAAATCTTGAATATATTTCAGAAATTTAGATGATTAGACAATAATTTTCAATGACAAAAACAGTAAGACCTATATACAAATAACAATATGTCAAGCTGACGGAAGTGATCACTGAATCGTTTTTGTGCGCAGAAGCTATGGTAGATTGAGAAACACTTTGAACAGTAAAAAAAGTTCAGCAAATATTCATTGATGCAAGATCTACAAAAACATTTCAGGTGAGTGATGCAGGCTCTTAGGAGCCTCTTGTTTATCATTATTGCAAGCAATGTATAGCAAATAGTTGAATCAAAAGACGACATACGTTGTTAACATTCAACTGAGGGGAGAAAATAGACACAGTACTTGTTTAATATTCTATTATCTTAAATTCATGCAATTTAGGTAGTAAAATTCACTTTTTTAAGTTTCTCCGAGTCTTTCGTTTCGATTGACCATAATTCATCATTTTTATCCTATTGTTATATTAGACATTAAGGAAAAGCTTGAGAAGACAGATTTAAAAGTAGAGGTCATTGTTGTTTGAACCTTTGTTTTGTCTGAATATCTTTTGACTGCACTGATTTGTTCGTGAGGTTTTCTTAATATTATTATATTGTGTATTACCTTTGGTCACTGAAATATTTTCTAGGCAGATCTATTTTGTTTTGAACTTTATCTTTAGGACATGCATTTTAGCTTAACGATTTTTAATTCAATCCGCTAATTACGAATGAAATGGCATACAAACTAACGGACATTCTCCTAAAGCACATGTAGAAATAAGAAGCTGTGGTATGAGACAACTCTCTATCAATGTCTCAATGTGTAAAAAGTAAACCATTATAAGTCAAAGTACGGTCTACAACACAGAGCCTTAGCTCACACCGAACAGCAAGCTATAAAGATCACCAAATTACTAGACAGTGTTAAACAATTCAAATAGGAAAGCCAATGGTCTTTGATTGTTTTTAAGAGTAACAAATTTTGAAAACATCTTGGCACGTTAGGTAATTTGTATGATAACTTGATAAATAAGTATGCATAAATAACATATATATTAAGAAAGGATGGAGTTGGTTTAATCAGATTCTATGACTATATTGTGTCTTCTGTAGTCAAAATGTGCACCTGCCGTATTGTTAAAAAAATCTAGTAAAACAGATGATTATATGTTAACGATTATGAAAGAAATACTGATGTTTATTGAATTTCCCGCTTCTCATTTGCCTATTAAAAAAAGTAATATAACAAAAATACCAAACTCAAGAAAATTCAAAACGGAAAGTCCCTTTACAAATTGCAAAATCAAAAGATCAAACACATCGAACATACAGAAACAACTGTCATATTCCTGACTTGGTACAGGCTTTTCCTTATGAATAAAATTGTGGATTAAAACTGTTTTTTTTAGCTCGCTAATAATCTCACTTATATCAGAGTCACATATAATTCCATTATATTGACAACAATATATAAACAAAACAAACAGGCATCAATGGTGAAAATGTCACAAATTGTGGATACAACAGTCAACGTTGTGTTTATAATGTTTCATCGTAATCCCATCTTTCTATACTGATTAATAGTCTTTATTGCTGTGTTTCATCTGTGTTTTTCGTTTATATTTTTGTACATAAATTAGGCAGTTAGTTTTGAATTGTTTCCCTTTTGTCATTTATAGCTGACTATGCGGAATGGGCTTCGCTCATTGCCAAATGATATACTGTGACCTATTTCTGTGTCATTTTGTCTCTTGCCAAGAGTTGTCACATTAGCAATAACACCACATCTTCTTTTTTATATTTAAAACAACTTCAATTCATCATGTGTTTTTTTCAATAAACATTTTTTATACAAACTTACTATACTCGAAAGGCAATACAACTATAGTTTGTATTATTATCGAAGAAACATAAATGGAATGAACATTGAATAATAGCAAATAAAGGAAACCAATTTAACATCAATAAAAAAAACACACTAATCTTGTCTGTTCCATTTTGTAAAGATATATTTATTTGCAATAACTCAACCACGGCATTAACATAGTAATACTGCTGAATATTAATATTATAATGTTGCATTGTCATGTTACCAATGATTTGTTTTAATGATATTTGAAATGATACATCTTATTTCAATTTCGTTTGGATAATCACTGTCCACAGCTACTATGATTTGATATATTTCCAGCTGCTACAACATGCTGAGTTACGGTTTGTTAGTTATATCTTACAGGTTGCATTAATATTTTAAGAAGTGGCTTAAATTTTCATAACGAAATAATTTTTACTACAAATTGGTATCAAAACTTATCATATTGTTCATGTCGTTAGGACAAAACGCTTCAAGTGTACTACACTTAGAAAGATGATACAGCGTTCCATATCGCTTCTTAAGCGCATTGTATAACTGTATTTTTGTATTCTAAAATGTTTAAATCTGTAGTATTATTTTTTTTCAAAATAGATTATATAAATTTAGAGTCAGTTGAAAATAAAACTTTCCAACAAAAGAGATAATTTCAGATTCTTATTGTGTAATTTCAATCTGTATGTAGCAACATTCCAGCAGCGCCTGCATATGGGAAATATATCTACCAGTTAGTACGATATTCATGGGCTTGCGTTTCCTATCATGATTTCTTTGATAGAAGGTTGTTGTTCACAAGGAAACTATCAAACTAAAAATTCCAAGTGGTAAAGATGAAAAATTAAAAGGACGTCATTACGACTTTGGTTGCCAATTATGTCATGTTTATTTTACAGATGACATCATATATGTTCAAATTGTCGAAACCACAATCCGGTCCTATATCCCCCAAATATGACCTACCGAATAAAACTAACATCAGCAACACGACGGATGCCACATGTGGAGAATAATCTTTTTCCTCTATCGGAGCACTTGCGATCACCTACAAATTTCTGATTGGATTCGCGTTGCTTAGTCTTTAATCCTCTGTATTGTGTTTTGTGTACTGTGGTATGTCTTTCTATCTTTTTCCCCTGCAATGGCGTTGTAAGTTTATTTTTGACTAATGCGTTTGAATGTCCCTTTTATATATGTTGGCTCTCTTTCTCGTCTAGTACCATGTGTTGTAGGATTTTTCCTTGTATGCTTAAAATTTCTTAAAACAAATCTGATATTTTTTTATACATATTTGTATCATCTCCCCTTTGACGGAGGGTCGTATGCTTCAGTTTTCTCTATATAGATACTAAATATGTGACACTAACCTTCATTCGACACCTTGTGACATAGGGCCTTTCGCTTTTCGGTGCAGTTAATAGAAAGTAGCTTAAACACCTTCTTCTCTTCTAAACGAAGTCCCAGACATTTGTAGTCATATTTTGATTTAGGTCCTGAATAAAGCGATAAAGACGATACACATTTTTATATTGATGTTGATAATAAGTGAAAGTAATTATTCAGTGCGTATTCGTATTGTGTACATCTGCTGAAGAAATTTCAAACACTAGTTATAAAAAAATATGTATAAAAATCAACATGCAGTGAGCCGCATATCAAAAGTATTAACTGCCCAGGCGAAAATGATTAACCTATACAAATTAGTAATAATGAAATAACAGGAAACAATGACCTACTTATTGTAATTATTGTTGATTTGTTCTTTCCTGAAAAATCATGAATTAATTGCCACTGGACGTTAAATAATCTCATTACAAATAAGAACCGATAACTACACACACCTGACTAACGTTGAACCACAGGGACTATTGGAACAGGGTTATAATATTAGCATGATTGGCATGGTGATATTTTATTAGAATAAAGAAAAAAGAAAAGGAGCAACGTCATTTTTTTTAAATTAAAAAGATAGTTGTAACGAACATGTCAATTATTTAATATCATAATTGTATATTTAAGCTGAAAAGGTCCACCTATAAACTATTGAACTGTTTGGTTATTAAAGATAAAATTCGTAATAATACATGTAAACATTTGATATAGAATTTAAGCTCAGTAAGATATTTATATTGATGAAATGCAGTATTGTAAAATAATTTGTTGGCTTTAATTGAATTTCTTAAAAAAATTTGGAATCAATGGAAAAAAGTGATGATCATTTGAATTTATGGTATGAATGCATTTACACACTTGTATGATAAAAGAATATTTATTTCTTTTTCCTTAACAATTTATTCATTTGCATGGTTATTTATAACTAAATTGAAGATTTGAATAGATCCGTGATATCAATGATACTAATTACGTAATAAAAATTAATAAACGATGCTTCAAAACGTTGTTTTAAACTTGCATTATTGACAGTTACTTAGTTTAAACATAATTATTTATAGTGGATAGGGAAACAGGTTGTTACAACTTATATCAATCCCTTTCCACTTTGCGGGTGCGAGTGCTGCCTTGTAGCGGCATTAGCCAGCTCTTTTTCGAAATCTACAAGGGTATCTTTTGCGTGGAAGAGATATTGCTCTCTCTTAAAACGGGTCAGCCATTTATCGTCCCCTTCCGACGGACTATCATCGTTTTCAAGACCATACTCGCAAATGGTGTCAAGGGAGAACCGGAAATTCAGTCCCTGAAATTTTCTCCCCTGAACGGTGATCGAACCAGGAACCTTTGTGTTAGTAGTCCGATGCACTAACCACTACACCACGCTCTCACAATTACTTTTCAATACTACTTACTTGTGTTCCACACAAACAACAACTTAACAAAGCTGTATTGAAAGTCACTTGTGTTGACTGATACCGGTGCTATATAACAACTTTCGCCAGACCGTGTTGATATTTTGAAGTAGGCACCTGATTTTAAGCAGGTCGTTAGGGTCTGACGCCATGTTAAAGGGATCTGAGTACAGTTCGTTTCCATTTGTTTGCGATCATCTGTAAAATATAACATAGGTTATTATACATACTTATTTTTGAAAGAAAAGTAAAAAAAGTTTTATGCAACATGTACTTTTAAGAAACAAACCTTTCTATACCATAACCCGACTTATTATTCAGATGGATTTGCGAGTAAAAAATATTATGCTAACAGTAAATTGTCATAAAATTTCAAACCTGTATTTTATTGTTCAAGAATTTACGAACATACTTCAAAAAGTCAATAACTACGTACTTATAAACTCAAACTTTATCAACTAATGCAGACCATTAATTTGATGGATTTCAAGCACATGGTTTTGCATTTGTTACTATTAGATGTAGATAGTTTGTCGTCAATTCAAATGGCTTGTAAAAAAAACATTGAGCAACTTGCACTTTTGAAGTGGCTGGACGTAACGTAGGTATAGTGCGTTTTTGATCGTCTGATTTTGACAAGAGACATTGCAGGGTCTTAATTAAGGGAATTGATGTATTACAAAGTCAACTTGTACTTTTGATTAATTTTTTGATTTAATTTTGGAAATATTGTATTTAAGTCGATATTGGATGTCGTCGTTATGCAAATGTATGCACACAAGCCTATAAAAATTTGTTCTTTGTTTAAAATTTAAATTCGTGATACAACTTTACCTATGATATTCACGAAAATTGGTATCCTAAGAAAAATTGTGAATTCACAGCATTTTGAAAAACGATGCTTTTGCTAATTCATTCATCATCTTTTTTGTTTGTTTCAAATGATTGTAAAATATCAAACAAACTGCTTAACGGAGTACAAATACTGCGAAGATAAAAGCAATGTTGACCTCATATAAACAAAATGAGCTTGAGTTAAATTAAGAACACTCATGATTATACATATATAGCATTGATATTTTAGGAGCTCGTTCGTGTTGTATAATGGAAGATAATAATTAATTAAAAGCAATTAAAATCATAAAGAGCGGAATGAAAGTCAAAATGGTGGCCAAAAGAAACTAGAATAAAATTAGGGACCCACATTATTAAAAAAAATAATTATAAGAATTAAAACCAATTGTTCAGAGAAAAATTGAAAGTGTTTCCATATAACAGGTCTAAATGATTGATAAAAAGTCGGTTAATCCAAAGTTACTATTGGCGTCTAATCATAGGTTTCTTCATACTGATTAAAAAGATACTATATACTTTTGACTTAAACTTGAGAGATAATTTGCTACATCCAGTTAAGAGAATGTCTTTTCCGGTCTCATATGATAGCTTACTTTACTCTGAATCCAAAAACATATGGTTTCTATATACTCTTCTTTCAAATAAGAGAGATAATAAGCTACTTACGGTTTTCGAAAGGCGACTTTAGGTTTCATTAATAGGTTATTGTATTTTGATTCTAAAAATGTGTAGTTTTTCAGTATTTCTTCCGTGAATTATTGCAAAACTAACTAATTCTGGTTTGCACCAGGTCACTTCCTGTTGATAATTGACAAGGTCATATGTCACTCAGCCCTTTGCAAAAGACACTATGGCTTTATCGTGTACTAGAATGAAGTTATTTTTGATTTACCTTAAATTTGAACATTTTAGGGGCAAAAAATCCAATAAATATCATCAGATTGTTTTAGACAAAATATACCATTTCTTTCTCATCAAAACATTTTGCATCAGTTCTTTTGTATCTAGCCTTCATGGTTTGAGAGGAGATGCACGGAATATCAAAGGGCAAAGTTTAGAATATGAACTTGACCTTTGACCTTGACCTGATTTTCCAAGCTATGCCTCAAGGATCTCCAATCAAAATTCCTTACGTTTTTAAGGCGTATGGTTAATGAGTTACACTGACATACCGATATAATTAATAGTGACGGGTAGATAACTGCTGTAAAATGTCACCTGATCGCTTCGCTCCAAATTGACCAAAGCTGTATAAGCATTTAACGAACAATTTTGAAGAATCAAAAGTTCTTTACAAGTAGGTTGTATGAGAAGGAGAGTGAACACTCTGCTTGATATCAGATAAGCATCCCCAGAATAGCAATTTGATCAGAGGATAATGATAAAAATATAAAGAAACCGACATGTTTATCACCCACTTCATATGACCCTCTGATGTACCAGGCTGTTACCGCCAACAGTCTACTTGATTAGGAGAATTGCGAATGTCACTTGATTGTAATCGGTGACTAGGTCATTTAAATACATGTTAAATTATCGTTACTAATTAGTTTCAATGTGTTTATTCACAAAAGTGTGTTTCTTCATGAACAATCTATGCAAATAAGGGCAATTTTGCACGACTTGTATCTTGAAAAATAGCACGGTGAACTATACTTTTTATTACATTTTTGAAAGGAGTAGTAAAATCTTCATTCTGGCAAAGTATAAAAAGATTCTATCTGAGGAAATATATAAATTTCACATATAACAATATATATATATATATAAAAGTAAAAGAGGGACAAAAGATACAAGAGAGACAGTCAAACTCATGACAAATTTAGAATATGACCTTGACCTTTGAACTTTTTCATTTCTTTTTAACCAAGGACCTCAATTCAAAAGATCCTAGGTCTCTATCACTTATGGTTTACCAGTTAGAAATGCATATCACTTATATCAAATACATAAGGGGAAATAACTCTCATATGGAGTCTCCGGATAGCTTCGGTCCAAATGGCCAACCTAATCCTGAAGATATAAAGAGCGATTTGGTAAAATAAATTTGTCGTAATCTTTTACGGTTGCGAAGGAGTAGTGGTCACAAGAAAAACAATGTAAAGGGAGATAACTCTTACAACGTAAAGTGTTCGGTTTAACAGTGTCAGTTTCAAAAGCGTATTAACTGTACAATATCATATTCCAAAAATATAAACGACATCTTATAAAACAACAATACTACGCCAGAAAAAAAAAAATAGGCGGAAGAATAAAAAAATTAATTAAAAACCAATTGTTCAGAGAACAATTGAAGGTCTTTCCACCCATAAAGATCTATTTTGGTATAAAAATATTAAAATTCGGTTTAAAATGTCAAATGATAGCTTATCATACGCTGATTCCAAAAATATATGGTTTCTATACATTTTTTTTTTAAATAAGGGAGAAAATTTGTCACTTCCGGTTTGAAAAATGTTATTTTCGGTATAATTTGAATGTTTACTTGACACTGATTCCAAAAAATTTTGGTTCTATATACTTTAATATTAAATAAGTACAAAAAATAGCTACTTCCGGTTTACAGAAGGCCACTTCCGTTTGGATTTTCCAAGGTCAAATGGCTTGCAACCTAATGCAAAAAGTCCCATGGCTTCATTATGTATACATATGAGGTAAAAACAAAGGTCAAAATCTATAACGTCAATTTACCTATGACCTTGAGCTCAATTTCAAGGTCATTAACCAAGGACCTCAAATCAAAATACCTTAGGTCTATATTAGATATGGTTTACGAGTTATATCACCTTACACATAATTTTACATATAAAAGGGGAGAAAACTGCCTTTATATGTCAAGGTACACTTTCAACTAAAATGTATGTGTTACGACATGTCGCAACTTACAATTTAGTAAAAATATGTTGTCGGTATCTTATACGGTTTTTGAAAAAAAAGCCATGGGACTTTTTGCATTAGGTTGCAAGCCATTTGACCTTGGAAAATCCAACCGGAACAGTGTTTAGGAAGATAACTCTTACAAAATACAATATTCGGTTTAGCGGTGTCAGTTTAAAAAGCGTATAAACTGTTCAATATCATATACCAAAAATATAAGCGACATCTTTTGAAGCAATACAGCGGAAGAAAAAAATTAGGCGGAAGAAAAAAAAATAATCAGAACAAAAGCAAAAGGTCTTTCCACGGAAAACTGGAAAGACCTAATAATAATCAGAACAAAATCAAAAGGTCTTTCCACCAGTAAAGATCTATTTTGATATGAAAATATTTAAAATGTCATTTCCAGCGTCAAACGATGGCTTAGTGTATGCTAATTCCAAATATAAATGGTTTCTATACAAAAAAAATTAATAAGGGAGATAATTTGCGACTTCCGGTTTGAAAACTGACACTTCCCGTATTATTTGATAGTTTACTTGACAACGATTCCAAAAATATATGGTTCTATATACTTTAACATCAAATATGTACAAAAAAAACCTACTTCTGGTTTACACAAGGTCACTTCCGGTTGGCTTTCCAACTTGAAATGATAATACAAAAAGTCCCATGACTTCATCATGTATACATATGATGTGAAAGCAAAGGTCAACATCTAGAACGTCAAATCTACCAATATCCTTGAGCTCAATTTTAAGATCATAAACCAAGGACCTCAAATCAAAAGACCCTAAATCTTAATTATATATGGATTTGCCACTGGACGTTAAGCAACCAACAATCAATCAATTAATTATATATGGTTAATGAGTTATATCACCAAAAGCGTTATTTTAAATATAAAGGGGGAGGAAACTTCAATTTAATGTAAGCGTACCCTTTCAACCAAAATGTATGTATTCCGACATGTCGCAACTAGCAATTGAGTAAAAATATGTTGTCGATATCTTATACGGTTTTTAAAAAGAGGCTAAAAATAAGCCAAAATCAAAATTAAGAATATGACCTTGACCTTTGACCTTGACCTAATTTTCTTTTCTTTGGACCAAGGACCTCAAATCAAATGACCCTAGGTCTCTATAACTTATGGTTTACAAGTTTCACATGCATATCACTTATATCAAATGCATAAGGGGAAATAACTCTCATATGGAATCTCATTACGGCTCCGGTCAAAAGGACAAGGTATGATAAGCTATAGCAATTGGCCCCCTATTTTTCTTAAAATTAAAATGAGTAAAACCTTTTCAATATCACACTATTTTAAAAGTTTATTATCAAATCTTTTTAAAAATCAAGATAACTGTTATGATTATGTGTGTTATAATGATTAAATGCCTCGCTCTTTTTCCCTAAATACGCGAATTTAATCGAAATCTTGATTTTTGTGACCCTTCTAGCAC